TGACTCTGTGTGTGCACACAAGGGAGGTCAACAGAGTGCAAACTTAAACCCAATATAAAATTGAAAGCATTGATATTTAGAAATTCAAAGATCTTTCAAACTTACCTCCTTTGATCCTCATTTTGAAGAAATAAAGAGGTGAAGTGACTTGTCCAAAAACATAGATGAGGAGAAGCAAATTGCTTTATTCATGAGCTAATCCATTTTTCTTCTACACCTGTCTGTACACACAGCTCCCTACCCAACAATTATACAGAGAAGAGGGAAAAGGAGACAAGGCTCCAATAAATGACGTACAATTCACTGGTGTGTCATGACAAGGCAGTTTAGTGATGAAACACTAGCCTGGGATCCTTACTTATGTCACATTACATGTCATTTATAGACACTCTGCATTGTGCTAAGTTTCTGTGGAACTAGAGGTCATAAGCATAGCTCCTAACCCAGAAACTTATACTGGGGGTGACTTTGCATAAATTGCTGATGGAGGAGGAGTTCTAGGGAAACATAAAGAAAGCATAGAAGCATTTGAGTGTCTTTTATTTGTAAGGCAAATGCTCCTCCAGTATTTATTATGAAAACTCTAAATAAACAACCTCTTAAAGAATATGTATATGCAACTGGTTTCTGAGCTTTGGTGGAAATCTTATCTCAAGGCTCTTAAAGATCACAATCCTCTGACCTTTTCCAAACCCAGTGCTTTAGTTATTATATCTCTGACAAGTAGCAATCCAACCTATCCTTAAACACTTTCAGTAATGGTATGTTCCCATGTGAAGACAAATGTCAGAGAGATGGAATGAGAAATAGAAAGGTGATCATTTATTTTGGGACCAGAATTAAAAAGACCAGACTTTTCAATGACATGGACCCATAAGTGTTCTTTTTGTGCCTAAGCTGGTTTGCACTGGGTTCTATGACCAGCAAGTGAGAGTCCTGACAAATGGAGCACAAAGTAGAAGCATGGAACCACGTCACTGGAGAAGTGGAATCATCACAGTTCTTGGGTTGCAATCGGCTCAGATTGATAGAAGCAAAAAGGGTACGTATTGGAAGGATACTACCGAGTTTCAGAATGTGTAAGGGTCAGATACCCAGGCATTGGAAGAGTAAGAAGCAAGGAAGCTCAAGAAATCTCAGCAACAAAACTCATAGACGTCCTTTCCAGTAATGGGCATTTTAAACTTTCTTGACCATGACCAACAGGAAATACGTATTACATGGTGACACAGCATAAAACAATGTGCCTATGAACCTTCAGTGACAAAGGTTTCCATATTGATCCAGTTTAGGGAACATTGCCTCCTGTATTCCCCCCTTCAGTGATTCACCCCATGCATTTTGTGTATCAGAGTCCCTGAGAAGTCCTGCACTAGCAAGCTTTTTTCATGCAATATTTCTCAAACATAATTGTTAGCAGTTAGCTCATTATTTCAACAAATACTTACTGACTTCTTATGTGCCAAACACTGGGCTTTGCACTAGGGAAACAATAGAGAACATACAAACAAGGCCTGCCCTCCAAGAGTTTCCAATCTCAGAAGTAACTATTAATCCCCCATGAGCTGCAGTTTAGAAAACATTGACTTATGTTACTCTAACTCCTATATTTGCTTGTAGAGTCAGGCGACCTTGAGGGCCACCTGATCCAGAATACACTGTGTCTAGACACAGGCCACAGTGGACAGTTGTGCAGGGTATACAAGGGGTAGGAACTCCATTAATACAATCTTCCATGTAAATGGAACTTTTAGAGTTGTGTGGTGCCTGATGCACATTGTGGTCCTTAGTGGCTGTGCTCTGGGTTGACTGCCTTGTTATACAAGGCACAGAACCCACACAGCCCCACCCTGATGGCAAGGTTTCCAACCTGAATCATTCTTACTTGCTCCAACTCTTCCCACTGAAATTTTTCAAACCTATAAAGAAGTTGAAAATATAATACAATGAGCACTATATGTTGGATTCATCAATTGTCAACATTTTGCCACATTTGCCTTCATGTTATATGTATACACAAATGCACACACACATGCATGAATATATTTATTTATGAATCATCTGAAAATAAGTGGTAAATGTTGTGTCCGTCATCCCTAAATGCTTCAAGGATTCTCCTAAGAATAAAGGCAATCTACATGATCCAATATCATTACTATGCCTAAGAATTCCAACTATAATTCCATGAAATCATGTAATGGCCAGGGCATACTCAATCTGCCCAGTGGTCCCCAAAATGTATTTAAAAAAATTTTTTTAATATCAGGCATTGCACTTGACTGTTATTATTCTCTCTACTTTTTAATCTAGAATAGTAACCCATCTTTTGCTTTCACACTATTGACTCACTTACTTGAAGAGTCCAGGTCAGTTGTTGGGGAGACTGTTTCCCCATCTGGATTGTCTGTTTCCTTCTGATCAGAGTCAGGATGCCCGCTATTAGCAACATTCCACGGGTGATGATGTGGCCTTCACAGCGCACCACCCAGAGCCACTTACTGTCAGGTGGCATTTGAGCACTTGGTGAAGATGGTGCCTCTATGGTCTCTCCATTGTACGGGCACATTTTCCCTCCGGAATCAGTGAGTAATTTGGGGGGAGATACTGTGAGTTGGCATAAACGCTCTGTCCTTCTTTACCCTCTCAAAAGACTGAGTCCCTGTTTATCCCACTTTCATGGGGTAATAGTGCCCCTACTCCCACATTGTTCTCCCTCTTCCCCTGCCCTGACAGAGGGCGGAGGGGAGCAGTCTGCCTGGCACTGCGGTGGGGCAATAAGGGAGAGATCGGTGTCAGCCAAGCGAGTTCCAGGTGCCTCCGGACGTCAGAAGGTCCAGGCCAGAGAGGCCACTGAGCCCTAACTTCCAGTGACAGTTAACCAAGCAGCATTGCTCAGGGTGAAAGCGATACTTGAGCTAATTTTTTGTAAGAACAAAAACCCCAAGATTGATTATTTCCTTTCCACAGTTTTTATCTGGAATTAAGGTAAATTAATTCCAGGTGAGAAACATCACATTGGTCCTATAGTAAATGATTTAATCTGGGACCTATAAAAACAATGCAATCTATGCTCGATATATTATTTCAGTAATAACCAACCTTATTAAAGTCGGGAAGCATTCAGACATTAATAAACTCTGCAGCAGGAGGGAAATCTCTATGCTCTGTGTCTTTGTTGTGGTCATAGAGACATGAATATACACAATAAACCTGAGTGCAACCAAACACACACTACAGGCATATAGATGAGTGTAAAACTAGTAAAATCTGAATAAGGTCTGTGGATGGTACTAATATCAGTTTCCTGGTTTTGACCTTGTTCTATAGTGTTGTTCAGATTGTTATGGGAATTTGGGGAAAACTGATGCGTACACTGTTCCTCTGTACTATTTTTAAAACTTCCTTGGAATCTATAATTGTTCCTAAGTGAAAAGTTTAAAAGATTAAGAAGCTTCATATTCACAAAGACTATATAGCAAGATTTTCAGAAGTCTGCACAAAGGCATCATTTGAGGTGTTTTTCACTCACTGTGCAGTAGGTAGGAAGGTTGCCGAGTCAGAGAAGTCTGGCTACAGCCGTTCTTGAACTCTGAACTACCCAACTCATCTCAACGTCTGATAATTTGGATCCTCTTGCCTTTTCACCTGCTGTCGAAACGGTCCAGGCTGCCCCTCCCTAGTACCGTGGTCCCCTCCAACATGGTCATTGTCCCCTTCTCCGGGTGAGTAGGATTAAAGGAATGAGCTGACCACATGCTCTGACTCCTCTGCTCTCCTATCCAGACTCCTTTCACTATTAGTAATCAAGTAGAAATGCGAGAGAGTAAAAGGAAAGAGGGAAGATAACCCACTAGTCTGCTACGGTATTTGTGCAAGGTGAGGACATGCACATTGTGGTTGGGAGTTTTCGGTCACACCGCTGTGGCCATATATGTCAGGACTAGGAAAAGTAACTTGACTACAAGTAAAAACTATTGGCCACACCGAAAGGATCGGGCTAATGCAGTTAAAACCGTCTGGCCGAGCCACAGATGTTAAAGACAAAACTCTTATTTCTTCTTTGACCCACCGGATTTTGAAGAGCACTTCAGCTCAACCTGGGAAGTATCGGAGGCGTGGCTTCCTCCCCTCTCTCCAGCCTTCGGAGGGACAGGCCTTCGGAGGGACAGGCCTTCAGAGAGCAGAGACCCTGTTCCCTGCTCTGAGCAGCGCTTGTTCGGCTCTCGCTTGGAGCTGCCTGTTGAGGAGCAAAGCCCTCCGTTCTTTGTTCCAAATACAGGGAAAAGCCTGCAGACTCCAACTTCCCGGACCAAGCAGGAAAGTTCATTTTGCCATAGCGGGATAAAGCACCAGCATCTCACGCTGAATCCAAATTAAATTCACCAACCCAGCTTCCCTGTAATAAATACGATCCTGTGTTGAACACTTAACCTTTATGGTGTTTGTTTTTCTAGAGCTTCAGAATTCTAGATAGATGAGGCCGTGCGTGATCAAGCCTTTGAAACGGAATGGCAGTTTTTGTTATTAACAAGCTTGTTAGAAAATGAGTAGATGAGCAAAAATTTTTGTTACTAACAAGCTTGTTAGAAAATGAGTAGATGTGCAAAAAAGAGAGAAAAAGGAAAGTCTCTTATCTTACCAGTTCTTATTTTCCCAGGTGCCTTTTCTTCAGTTATCAGATTGCTTAAGTAAAAGCAGCCTGGACAATGAAATGTTCACAAAACCAGGTTGTTGGTCCTGGTCTTTGTATTGAAATTATTCCATTTGCTTTCAGACCACTGTTTATCGAAAAACACTCATTCATTTGTACCAACACAACTTTCATGGGTTGTTATAAATGTGTACAGCCCCCCAAGACTGAAGTTTAATTGTATCAGATGTGGCGCTCCACTATGTCTTACGATTTACTGAACTGTTGTTCAAACTGTGAAGGTTCAGCCCATTTTTCCCGGAAGGATTTCCTTGTAATTCTAACCAAGCTTCTCTTTTTATGTTTGGAGCATCAGGAGAGCCCTCCTGTGGATGACCTAACAACTGTAATCTGCTCTTCTCAACCAGCATTCCAGGTAGGTAATTATGTCAGGCTTTGTGAGCAGCTAGTAGATTCTGATCTTGTGCTCTGGGGGCTTTAATTGAATGTTTATTGCCATATGCAAAATGAAAGTGATTACAGACTGGTTCTTGGCATCCAAAAGGAAAAGAAAAGCCACATTCAATTCAAAGCATTTCAAGGAGGAAAGATAACACAGGGAGAAGCCCTTTGTTTTGTCATTGAGAGGATCACATCATTCCAAGAGTCACATTGGGAGATGCATGCATTTCCCTCAAGTGAAAATCTGAATTTAATCGAACACTCCTGAACAAGACAAGGTCAACTTTAAGCAAAAAAGCATTTTTACTGTGAACTATAGCATATGTACGTAAGTGCAGATACTGTTAAATTTCTCACCTCAATCAGTATCAAGAACTTTTTAACTTCATTTCAAATTCTCTCATTTATTATGCTGCTGCTGTTTGACCTCTGCTCATGCTGCCAACTTGACCAGATAATCAGAATTACAGTATTTGTATGTCTAGGAATATTTTTGTATAGCCGTAACTCTTAAAAGATGTTTCCTCTGGGGGCATGGAACACTGCGTTGCCAGTCATTTTCCCTCAACATTTTTTCCTTTGTCTTCTGTCACCTCTTGTGCTGAAGAAGAGTCCGCTGTCTGCCTGATGGCCGTTCCTTAGTATAAAAAGTCCTTCTTTTCTAGTAGTTGCAAAAATGTACCGTCTCTGATGTGTAGTTTCGCAGTGATGCAACTAAATATGGCGTTTTGTTTGCGTGTTTATCCTACTTGGTCGTCTGGGTGTTCTTTCAGGCTGGGGAACTCGGGATCTCCTTCCCTTCTGGAAATAACTGGCCATGATCTTATTTACCTTTGCCTCTTCCCCCATTTTATTTGCTATATATGGAATTTTTCAATATCTTCTCTCTGTCTCTTTACTTCTCTTTCGTATCTCTATCTCTTTATCTCTCTGGGCTACATTCAGATTGATTTTTCTCAATTCCATTTAAAAAATCTCTAATTGCATCATCGAATTTTTTCCAGTCTAATCTAATCAGGCTTTTATTTCAGTAGCTATGATTTTCTCTAATCTAATAACTATAATTTTCTTTCCAAAGTTTGAGATTGTTCCTTTATCCATATTGATTTTTACTCCTACTAGTTTTATTTCATGACTTCCTATTCTTGTTTACAGTTACTACTTCTTACCTTTCTGAGGAATTTTAACATACACACTTAAAGTCTTTTTCAATTTTCTCTATTTTTCTACTTTCATCGGGTATCTGTTCTCCAGTTTGTTCATTTGCTCGCTGTCTTCTTAGGCATGTGATTTCTGTATGTGCCTTGTGAAGTGGATTTGTCTGCTCACCTGGAACAGGGGTTCTATTTTCATTCTCCCAGGAGTCACCCTCTCTCTCTGTTTTTTTTAATTTCATGGTACTCTTAGGAAGAACTTCTAGAGACCCCAATTCACAAGAAGCTCAGAGTTCTCTCTCCAAAGGTACGTTGCCTTTCCAAACCTGGAGAGAGAGGTAAGCAGCAAAAATGTCCAGATCCTGGGAACGTTAGTCTGTCTGCTTTCTCCCTTCCACAGACAGGCAGCTCCTTTCTGACTGTGATCCCAGGCAGGCAGAGCATTGGAGCTCTCTTTCCTGGGTGAGGATTGAGAATCAGAGGTCTAGATCTTATGGAGGATGCCCAGCTCTGATTTCCAGCCTCCCATCGGGTCATTAGCTTCCATCCTCCTCAGCAGTGGAGTCATGTTCCTCGCAAACTGCCCTCTCAGCTCCTGTGGGTCATCTGCTCCAGCCTCTATTCACCTCTCTGGGCTTCCCCTCCCCGTATGGGCTGCAGATCCTCTCTTAATCTTGACCCCCTCACGTTCGCTGGAAGTTGGTGGTCTCTTCCCATCCTATCTCCCTCACCAGTGCCGCCTGCGGTCTTTGAAGGCTCCTCTTCCCTCCTTTGGCTTCCTGCTACCTTTGGTGGCCCCGAGGGGCAGTCCTCTAGGCAAGCTTGTTCTTCTGCCTGGTGTCAGCGTTCTCATGTGTACTCGGAGCTCTCAGCAACCCACACTGTTCGCCTGAGCTCCTGACCTCGGGCACCCCCTGATTCATAGCACCCCAAACCCACACTCATCCCCTTTTCTTTGTAAATGTCCTTCGCCAGCTTCTGCATTTCCCATGTCAGTGGATGTCCAGACATCCAAGGCAAAAACTTATCCTTGAGCCTCCTCACGTGACCTGCCACCAGAACCAATCATCTCTCTTTCCTGAAACCTGAACACCTTCCTTCCTTCCCTCCCTCTTTATTTATAAAGACCCCAGCTGGAAGTTACCCAAATGTCCATCAAGTGAGTGGATAAACAGATGATGGATCTCCATGCAGTGAATCACTCCTCAGCCACAGAATGGCATGAACTGCTGGTGCAATAACATGGATTCTTCTCAAAATGTTTGGTTAGAGTGAGGAAAGCCCTCCCAAAGAACAGACCGTGCGACTCCACTTGGATGAAGCTCTAGACAATGCAAACTACTCCACAGTGTCAGAAAGCAGATTGCTGGTGCCCAAGGGAGGGGTGAAGGATGGGGTGGGGGCAGGGGGGAGAAAAGCCAAAGCAGCCCCTCCCTGCCAGGATGGGCATGTTCAGGTGGGTGTAGTGATGCTTCCCCTAGTGCATACACGTTAAAACTTACCAAACTTCACACTTCAAGACATGCAGTTCATGACATGACAATTATACCTCAATGCATTGTTTAAAAAAGGAAAAGAATGGAAGTAATCTGAAATCTAGGTATATATTTATATCCACCTAGGTATTTTTAATAATACAAACTGCCCTCAACAACTAGACGGTAATAATTGGGTGCCACAGGCCGAATTGTGCCCCCTCAAAATTTATATGTTGAAGACTTAATCTCCAGTGTGATGGTACTTGGAGGTGGGGCCTTTGGGAGGTAATTAGGATTAGATTAGGTCATGAGGGTGGGGCCCCCAGGGTAGGGTTAGTGTCTTTCTAAGAAGAGGAAGGGAAAGACCTCTTTCTCCCTGCACACATACCAAGGAAGGACCGTGTGAGGACACAGAGAGAAGGCAGCCATGCAAACCAGGAAGCGCGGCCTCCCCAGAGCCTGGTCATGCTGGGACCCCGAGGTCGACTTTTCAGTCTCCGGAACTGAGAAAGAGAAGTTTTGTTGTAAACACCCAGTGTATGGTATTTGGTTATGGTGGCTCAAGCTGATTAAGGCATAGGGAAAGGGATACATTGTGTGGTGCAATAGTATGCAGCCATGCAAAATGATATCCACTAGGAACTCCATGGGTCAAGTTTACAAATGAATAACTTAGGAATTAAGAACACAAACATATTATATAGATATATGACAAAATAGACCAAAAGAACCAGCAAAAGAGTTTAGTATGGTTCTTGGGCCAGGGGCATGGAAGGGGAAGGAAGAGGCCTGATTTTGTTGATGTTGTAGGCCCTTTAAACACTTTTTGATTTTTTTAAAGATCTGTACTTGTAACATTTACTTTGATAAAATAAATTCTGAATATTCATAAAATTCTTAGAGCTTTGGGCTCTAGAGTCAGAGAGAGCCGGCTCCAGGTCCCGGCCCTGCAACTACCAGGCCTGGTAGCCGGGTCAAAGGTACAGGGTCTCGGTTGTGGGGTAGGGGTGGGAGAACCTGTGCTGGAGGTCTTGTGGCACCTGTGGGAAAATCCCAGTACAGACCTAGCCCAGAACAGGGTCAGCACAGGAAAGCTGATGGGAGAGAGCCACAGGGTCTGGACAGGGGTCGGCCCCAGGGTGCCAGTGGGTTGGAGAACAAGCAGGATCGGATCGAACACACGCAGCCCCACCAGGGCCCCAGCCCTCTGCTTCCGGGCTGGATCACGGGCGTGCGGGAGACCACCGCACTGTCCACACAGTCATCTGCCTCAAGGTGCTTGACAACACCCCCAGGGCATTGCAGGAGCCCTCCCAGGAATCGGTGTTCCAGCAGTGAGCACCTCCAGCACCCACAGCTGACTGGTTGATGCACTGAGGGACGCGCAGCCCCCAGAAGGAGGGTCGGGGGCTGAGGCTCACATGCGGTTTCTCAGCAATTTAGACTGTGGAGGGCTTAGCACACTTGTCTACCCAGTCCAGGATGATGACGCACATTCTGAAATGGGACCTCGGCTCACTGGAACAGGGAGAAACGGGACAGGGTTACTGGGGACAGGGTGACGGGAGCTTGTGGCCAAGGCTCCTGCCAACTCCGCTCAGTGCCAGAGAGCAAGGCAAGTGCAGCATGTGCCAAGACTGAGGGTTTATGGAGTCCAAGGCTTGGGGTGGCTTCTGTGTGGTGTGGCCCCCAGAGGGCCCCATCCAATCCCAGGCACCACTTCTTGAGGAACATTCTCAGGGAAAGGGGTGAGTGCAGAGTCAGCTGCATGAGCCAGATCCCGCACCGCATGTGCCCCACAGCGGTGCACTTGAGCACGGCGCACACCGGACGAGGAGCCTTCTTGGCAAACACGGGGCATTTACTGCCAGTCGGGTGCTGTCCTAAGCATGCATTGCAGTTACCTGCTCATTATTAAAACAGCCCTGGGAAGGGGAGCTCTCATTTTAAAAGGGAGACCTTTAAACCTTGGAGAAGATGGTGATTGGTCCCAGGTGGCACTGCTGGGTGAATTCAAGGCCCAGTTGAGCCCCTCTGATGCTGAAGCCCTTCTCTGCCTTGAAAGCAGAACTCCAGGGCTGCAGGAACCATATGCTGGAACCAGACCTGGGGGCTTGGGGGCTGCTTATTTATTGGGATGGTTTTCTTTGAAAAGGGAGGTCTGAGCATTCTTGGTAGTCCTCAGAATAGAATTCACTCCAGTAAGCAGGTTTCTCTTCGGTGTGGGACTGCACCGCACCACTCAGGGGCTTTCCGTAGGACATTGAGCCTGGCTCAGAAGCCACCAGGAGGCTCCCTAAAGGCTGACTGTGCCCCAGGAAGAGAATCCCCACCTGCCCTGGGACAGCCTGTTGGGAGTCTGTGGTCAGGTGGAGACAATCTTAGCAAGGGAGGCAGGTGCAGAGATTGCAGAAAAGGCTCACTGGGCCTGTTCGTGTGAATCCAGCCCCCGGCCCAGCCCAGGGGCCCCTGCAGGCTGACCCACCGTGGGCTGGTCCTCCCCACCTTTCTAACATCCACCTGCTCGCTGCAGCCATATGGTTCTTGGGCCAGGGGCATGGAAGGGGAAGGAAGAGGCCTGATTTTGTTGATGTTGTAGGCCCTTTAAACACTTTTTGATTTTTTTAAAGATCTGTACTTGTAACATTTACTTTGATAAAATAAATTCTGAATATTCATAAAATTCTTAGAGCTTTGGGCTCTAGAGTCAGAGAGAGCCGGCTCCAGGTCCCGGCCCTGCAACTACCAGGCCTGGTAGCCGGGTCAAAGGTACAGGGTCTCGGTTGTGGGGTAGGGGTGGGAGAACCTGTGCTGGAGGTCTTGTGGCACCTGTGGGAAAATCCCAGTACAGACCTAGCCCAGAACAGGGTCAGCACAGGAAAGCTGATGGGAGAGAGCCACAGGGTCTGGACAGGGGTCGGCCCCAGGGTGCCAGTGGGTTGGAGAACAAGCAGGATCGGATCGAACACACGCAGCCCCACCAGGGCCCCAGCCCTCTGCTTCCGGGCTGGATCACGGGCGTGCGGGAGACCACCGCACTGTCCACACAGTCATCTGCCTCAAGGTGCTTGACAACACCCCCAGGGCATTGCAGGAGCCCTCCCAGGAATCGGTGTTCCAGCAGTGAGCACCTCCAGCACCCACAGCTGACTGGTTGATGCACTGAGGGACGCGCAGCCCCCAGAAGGAGGGTCGGGGGCTGAGGCTCACATGCGGTTTCTCAGCAATTTAGACTGTGGAGGGCTTAGCACACTTGTCTACCCAGTCCAGGATGATGACGCACATTCTGAAATGGGACCTCGGCTCACTGGAACAGGGAGAAACGGGACAGGGTTACTGGGGACAGGGTGACGGGAGCTTGTGGCCAAGGCTCCTGCCAACTCCGCTCAGTGCCAGAGAGCAAGGCAAGTGCAGCATGTGCCAAGACTGAGGGTTTATGGAGTCCAAGGCTTGGGGTGGCTTCTGTGTGGTGTGGCCCCCAGAGGGCCCCATCCAATCCCAGGCACCACTTCTTGAGGAACATTCTCAGGGAAAGGGGTGAGTGCAGAGTCAGCTGCATGAGCCAGATCCCGCACCGCATGTGCCCCACAGCGGTGCACTTGAGCACGGCGCACACCGGACGAGGAGCCTTCTTGGCAAACACGGGGCATTTACTGCCAGTCGGGTGCTGTCCTAAGCATGCATTGCAGTTACCTGCTCATTATTAAAACAGCCCTGGGAAGGGGAGCTCTCATTTTAAAAGGGAGACCTTTAAACCTTGGAGAAGATGGTGATTGGTCCCAGGTGGCACTGCTGGGTGAATTCAAGGCCCAGTTGAGCCCCTCTGATGCTGAAGCCCTTCTCTGCCTTGAAAGCAGAACTCCAGGGCTGCAGGAACCATATGCTGGAACCAGACCTGGGGGCTTGGGGGCTGCTTATTTATTGGGATGGTTTTCTTTGAAAAGGGAGGTCTGAGCATTCTTGGTAGTCCTCAGAATAGAATTCACTCCAGTAAGCAGGTTTCTCTTCGGTGTGGGACTGCACCGCACCACTCAGGGGCTTTCCGTAGGACATTGAGCCTGGCTCAGAAGCCACCAGGAGGCTCCCTAAAGGCTGACTGTGCCCCAGGAAGAGAATCCCCACCTGCCCTGGGACAGCCTGTTGGGAGTCTGTGGTCAGGTGGAGACAATCTTAGCAAGGGAGGCAGGTGCAGAGATTGCAGAAAAGGCTCACTGGGCCTGTTCGTGTGAATCCAGCCCCCGGCCCAGCCCAGGGGCCCCTGCAGGCTGACCCACCGTGGGCTGGTCCTCCCCACCTTTCTAACATCCACCTGCTCGCTGCAGCCAGCAAGGGGGCCCCATCCAGTGACCTCTGGACCTGCCCAGCTTAGGAGTGTATCTGTCTGGACTCAGCCCAGTGACCAATTCGAGACATTTCCAGTCATTTCCATGCTGACCAAGGCCAACTCAGCACCAGCTGATACAGGAATTTTGCAGTGAGTCACTTTGTTGTTCTTTCACTCCCAACAGATTCGCAGCTACTCTATTAATATATGTGGCAGGGCACACACCCAGTCAGCCCAGAAGCTCCCTGGACCACCTTCCTGTGTGAGTTCAGGCTAAGAGGGAGCTCAGGTGGGGCTTGGGTGCAGGATGCCAGCTGGTATGTATATATACCACATCTTTTTTATCCATTCATATACTGATGGACATTTAGGATTTTTAACATCAAATAAATTGTTTCCTATTGTTTAGATAAAATGGGTGACGTTAGAAGACAATATCAAGATCCTATTATAATTTATTTGATATAACGTATTTATGTCATCTGTTAGGTATACTCTATAGTTTATTAAAAAATATGTCATTCATGCTCAAATACTTTCTCAGTCAATATTGGGCTCCTGGTTAGATAGATCTCTTCAGGTATTTAGGGACACATGTTTGAATCATATTTTATTTTTACTTAACATCTAGTTCTTAGCCTTTTCCCACATCAGTAAAAACATTTCATGAGAAATATTCAGAAAGAAATGGTTCCATTTTCATTCCATTTCCTGGTTGTACTACGATTCCTTCCCTTCCTCTTTTCAGGACATTTGGATGGCTGTCATTGTTTCGGCTCTTCATTTTATTTATGCCACAAACATCGAATGCCAGCTCTGCCCCTGGCACGCCCCTCACTCAGCACTGGTGATTCATTGGTTAGCAAAATGCACACAGGCTCCTCTCTCCCAAAGACATTTCAGCAGGGAGATACCCACTGAACAATCTCTTGCACACATGCCTGCACCGAATTATAACCAACAATCACTCCTGTGAAGGAAACGTCTAGCATGCTATCAAAGCACATAATATGGGTCTGATTTAAATTCTTGGGAACAGGCAGGCAGAGAAGGCATCTCTAAAGCAAAGACACCTAAGCTGGATGGAAGGAAGAGTAAGAAGTAGGCAGGTGTGTATGCATGTGAGTTGTGTTCATGTATGTGTGCAGGGGAGAGTGCATGTGTATATGTATGTGTACATGTGTGTGCATATGTGTCTCAGCAGGGAGGGGTGCGCAGTTGTGCAAACAGGGAAGAGCTGGTGTGAAGGGCTGGAGAGGTGAGTCTGGCACGCAAGGATTTCTAAGGGGACTGGGATACTGGACGGCTGGGATCTGCAGGTGCCGCAGGGTGAGTTTGGAAGAAGATTCCAAGCGGGAGATTTGCAAGTTTGTCCTGGAAACAATGAGAAGCTTTGAGCAAGAGGGAGTAGGAGGACCTTGTGTCCATCACAAAATGACTGCACACCATGGGGGATGTTCAGGGGACATGTTGGGGGTCTTGGCCAGGGACTAGGGGAGAGAAGCTGAGACTGCAGCGGTTAGAATGAACTCAGCCAGATTTGAACTCT